ACCTTTAGTCATGGTATGAATAATTGTGGTATTGACTGTATAAATGGAGAAAATGCTTCACATCTGCTCTCACACAGGAAAGTGTGGACTCGGGGAGAACGGGAGCATGCAGAGTAAATATGGGTCAATTGGAACAGGAGCGTACTCGTGACGTCACCACACGCTTGGCTCGTCTGGTCTTGCATTTTACCTCTTGTTATTAATAGTACATAGAAAATTTCTTACTTTTTTTCATTTAGTGGGGTAACAATAATTAACACAGTCAAATAAACAAAAAACAAATGAACATTTTGCTAAATAAAAAAAAAAGGCCATCAGAGCCAGCTGTACATCACTCAAAGCTATGCTAAGAGAGGGCTGCTGCAGATGGGCTAAGGTTAGCCCTGGCTGCGGTTAGCCTCAGCTGTCCGCTGATTGCCGCGGTCCTCTCAACATGGGAACTTTTTTTTACATTATATACTAAATTGGTAAATGGGCCATATAGTGACGCTTAAAAATATAATGTTCTCCCCTCAAGTGATCTTAAAACCTACTTTTATTGAACAGCGGCAACAGAGAAGAGAACATTTATCTTAATGCTCTGAGCTCTGTGAGCGCCTCACTAGAAGCTGCTGCTGCTGCAGTGCATGCTGGGACAGCTGTCAATCTGTCAGTCTGCTCTGATGCATACTCTGTAAAGAGGGAGGGGCAAGAACAACATCCAGGGACTTTGTCCGTTCTCGGTCTGCTGTTCTTGTGAATTTGAACAGTACTAGGGCTGAGGCGGATGATGTTTCACAAGTACACGAGCACATGAGAACGCACAAGTACACGTATTGAGAAATGTCTGAACAACCAAGCTACTGAAGAGGCTCCAATGTGACCAAGTATTTCTGAATTGAATCTAGATACAAAAAAAAAAAAAAAAGTAATTCAAAAACTGTGTTTCATCTTTCCACCTGATTACCATCCAGAGAGGTTTGGACCTTTTCTTGTTGGAACCAAACAAGCACCTTACCGCAGCACAGCAAGTCCAAGAGCTGTCAGAACATGTGGAACCTTTCAGGGATCCGCTGTTTCTCTGATGTTCTATTAACACTGAAATGATCAAGATCCTAGTTAGATCAAAGGGTCCATAAAAGCCCAGAGCATCTGCTGGCATCAAAACCATGTCAATATTTATACAGCAACAGACACCTTCTGGATGTCAGTAAAAATTATGTCCTATAATATTTCCTACAATTTCAGTGAACGCTGATCTAGAGCTCCATGGCATTCTGTCAGATGTAGGCAGAGGGAAGGGTATCTGACATGTCAGTAGGGCTGATTTAATTTAAAGTTTACAGCTTAAGTTCTGGCTTTTTTTCTCCTGGTTCTTACTTCAAATAGGTAAAACAATGAACTAATCAATAATAACAATATGGGCAAATATGAAAGGCTTATAATACATTACATTTTTAGTCAGATTGCACAGCCCTACCATAAAATACTGAAGATCAGATGTCCAGACTTCTTTTATTTCCAACTTTCCACCTTCATCTACAGATAGAAGTTTAACTGTCTGGGTTAGGCCTGATTCTACAGATAAACTTCACATTTATCAGGTAAAGCAATGTGACTCCATGTTGATAATGAACCTTTGCGGTGTAATGAACTGCTGCTTCGTTTTGTTCTCAGCTGGACTCAAATGGTACAGGCAGAAAAGCAGGAAAAGCTTTGATCCACCAGTTAAACATCAGTCTGCTCTTTTGGAATAAAAATGGTGCCTGGCGACAGCTTTCTTATGGCTTTCTATCCTTCCATCTCTTTCCAGTCCTGCTAACTCTCCTTTTTTATTACCTCTATCTCTCTCTTATCTTTATACCACTTCCTTTCGTTTCTCTCGCCTGCTGCATCCTGTCTCCCTCCCTGTTTCGGTCTCTGCTCTCTTAGCCTCTTCAGCAGAACTGGCATGCATTCAGTGGATGCAGTTGGCTAAGCCCAGAGCATCTGCTTGGATAAATGACATAGTCTCACGGGCCTGTGTTAGCTTCTGTGTTGTTTGCAGTAGCTGCCACTGCCAGTTTATTCATCCCTTCTGATGCTTGTGCTGTAGAAATACAGGTGTTTGTCGCTGATGCATGGAGGCGTCTGACAAAACTTAAAGGTGTGCAAATGAACACTCCTGCTTTGTGCATGTGTGCATTAATGGTCAGCTTTCATATTAGCATTGCACCCACCCCCCACACCGACCCCCTCCCATGTGCATCCCAAACCCTTCATTAACTAAACATGACCCTTAAGAGCATGATTAGCCTCATTTCAAGACAGGATGTCGGAAGCCATCAACTGAGGGGGAAAAATCCATTACTATAATTGCATTGAGCTGAGGCAGGGAAGGAAGGATGGATTAAAACAGAAGGAGGAGGAGGGAGGCTGAGGAAGGGAGGAGGCTGGGAAACAAGGATGGAGTGAAGAGAGGAAAGAGAGAGGATGGAGAATAATGACTGGAGGAGGGAGGGGGGCATGAGCAGATATTCTATACGTTTCTATAGTTGGTCCTCGCAGAATCCCCCCGTGTCTGTACGCTGAGATGGTTTAGCCCTTCCACAATATAACCACCTCCAGTTAGTCTTGATGTGACACTTTCACTCCGATCTCAAACGACTCCCTGTCCTGCTGTGGGGGGGTAAATCACCACGCCGGCTCTATAGGGCTCTGTGAACACACCCCAGTATGGCGGCCTGTAGCGCTGCCTCTGTGAAAAAGCAGAGCTGGTCGTCTGTTACTTATGTGGATGCTGACAAAGAGGCGAAAAATAGTTTTGTTTCTCCTCGTCTCACCCGATCGTCTCGTCTCTGCGTCTCCGGCTGGACGCCTCTCAGCATGAGTGAGTATGACTCACGTTCACGGAGACCCTCACTGATACTTATCCTCATTGCTCATCTGGAGGTGCCGATGTCTCTCTGGGCAGTGATCAGGCAATTTAAATAAGTCACTATTTTAGGATTTGTGGGCAGTAAGCTAAGTACTGGGCTGTGGTCAGCTGCTTATTTTCTGTTAAATATTTGTACATCTGACTTTCATGATGACTTGCAAAGAGGGGAGCGATCTCCGTTTATCTCGGCCTCAGAGGCAAGTCTGACAGTGAGACCCGCCGGCCTCAGACTGCGTGGCCTCAGAGATCAGTCTAGCTTGGAGACAACCAGTCATCATATGGACTAAATCAATTATTTTAGATGAATCTTTGCTTTAAGATCAGGGAAAAGAGACCCGTCTGTCAGTGAGTCCGGATTTTCTCACAGGCATTTAAAAAGACACAGAACAACCATAGGTTTAATAAGCTTAAGTAACAAATTGAAAACGATGATCATGTATTTTAATATAACATCAAGCTTTCTAGAAGGAAACATGTTGAATGTTTATAACATCTCAGAGGAAAATTGCCTTCCTAACCTCTGATGACTGGATATGGACTGTTTGGATGATGAGGTTCAGTTATCAGTATAATTATGTCTCTAGGTTGGCCTCCAGTTCAGTGGAAGCTTCTGGGCTGTCTGACCGGCAGGCTGCGGGTTGCAGATCTCTTAGGATGGGTGTGGCAGCAGGAGCCTACATCACCACCTAAATGAATGAAGCTGAAGTGTCTGATGTAATGAGTCAATGCAGAGTTCCTTTTTAATATATATATATCGTTAGAATGTTTGAGTTTATTTTAGACTCGTTCTCCGTTTAGTCTAAACCGAAACCTCCTGAATTTCAGCCGGTTAGTGCAGGTCAGCCCCCAGGAAGAGGTTCTGGTTTGAAGTAACCAGCTAGATTTTCCCCTAAACCTAGTTCTGGTGGAACAAACAGCCCTTTTGGCAAATGCAGTATGTCGGACAGATTTTGGTCATGTTAGCTGTTTTGGTTAGTGCACATTAAGAAGTCTAACACACCAAGAACACGGCTTCTTGATTGGATCATTGTTTTAGCTGAAGGCTCCAGTTAAGGGTTTAGATCTGGTTTAAAAATTGTGAAAAGCAAAAAAAGAAATAAAATCTTCAACTTCCTGTTAAAGTAGACCTGCTGAGGCCCAGATCTTTCTGGTACCAGTAGCTCTGATGAGTGTTGAGGGTTCTCCTCCTCTCAGATGGTCTTGCATTTAGTTTATTTCTTTTCTATTTGGTTCACAGCTGTTTGAATCTGTATTCTTTCATTCTCTTGTGTTGTAGTTTCATTCATTCTATTCTATTCTATTAAACAGTGATGGCGTGTGGTGCCCACGCTCAGATGGAGAGACGCTGCTGTTGCATCATTGTTAGCTCGCCCACCCAGTTCAATGCGTCAAAGATAAGCTAGCTTGGTAGATTCAGGTTTTGAACGTGTCGCTCTGATATTATGGAAAGAATCTCTGATTTCCTTAACTTTCCAGGTTTTCACTTCCTGTTTGATTAAAAAATAAATGCAGCAGATTTATCTGAGATTCCAGTCCTCTGAAAATAAACTAAAATCAGCATCTGAAATCTCAGAGAGAGGCGGCAGTTGATTCCAGCCTGGAAGGTTTGATCTGTACGTTTTTTACACTGAAACTTTATTCCTTTTCTAATTGGCCTATTGACGTGGTTTTCTGTTCTCAAAGGAACCTGGAAGATGGCTGATTAAATCATATTCCTCAATCGTTAAAGAGCTGGAAGTTGGTAAAACCCTCCGCTGGGATAGTGATACGGTTGATAAGCTTCTTTTGTCGGCTTTCAGACGTCGTGTTCCCAGGAAGCGGTTAGATAACGGGTATAGAAAGTATTTTAGAGGAAGCAGCCATTTTGAGTCAAAATCAAAATGGCTGCCATCAGATTGCTGCCTCACTGCAGATTTAGATGCTCCATCTCTTCTGTTTGGTACATTCTTAAAGAGACTTTGAACTCACAGCTAGAGTCGAAGCGAGTTTTTAGCAGAACCTTATACCCGCTCTCCTTTGCTCTAGTTTTAGTAGTGAATCTTATCTGTTTCCATTTGGCTCTGCTCAGCCTCTCTGTCTCTGTTTCCCTCTGCTGCATTCACAGGGCTTCCTGAAGAACGAGAGGGACAACGCTCTCCTGTCAGCCATCGAAGAGTCTCGCCGCAGGGTCAGTACCAGTCCAGTCCAGTCACTAGTTCTCTGTGTTTATATAACAAATTCAGTGTTATAAAGCCCAGCACATGCAGATGTGACATGACCCTGTTCTGGTGGCTTTAGATGAAGTCCAGATGGGTAAGTGGATTAGAGAGTTTACCTCCTCTGTGTTTTACTTTTCCTTCTTCCTGAGTTTCCCACATGCCGCCGTGTTCATGTGGAGATTGGCATCTAATCTTCACACAAACAATCAGGTTTTAGGGATTTGTGCTGACTGTGATCTAAAAGTCCTTCTGGTGGGAACCTCCAGGGAATCAGCACAGCTAATATGCCCAGGCTTTAATTAGCTGCCGGTCCCATTATCTCTGTGCTCCCTTGGAGAGGAGGAGGAGGAGGAGGCGTATGCAGGGGTGGGAGGAAGAACACACCTAGACGAAAGGCAGATGTTGGAGGTGATTGCTGATTTCTATCCCGCTCCTTCAGCTTTTTCCTCCCAGATAATTCTACTTTATTGTGTTGTCCATAGCTTTGAAGAAAGGCTTTTTATTCCTGCTTAATACAGTTAGACGACAGAAAGGAGCTTCCATCTCTAAAAAGCTTTTAGAGGTTGAAGCTTTCTGGGTCTGAAGGGGCCCAGATAAAAGGTGAACGTGGTCTAGATTCCTGCCTCCCTGAGCAGGAGATTCAATTATCTCATGCTCCCATTGTCTCGATGCGTGTCTCTGTGGACAGTTAAAATAGACGCAGCAGGTCCTGGTGGAGACGGCTGAGTTTTGACAGGACAACCTGCCTTCTCTTTTCTGATCTTTCACATAAACCACTCTGTGGTCGGGTGTTTTAGTTTTTAATGACGCAACACAAGTTCATCACCATTTCAACTTGGATCTGATTTACTTCCTCCTTCTCACACATTTAAAACGCATCATGGGAATTTGAATGAATGTTAAATCACGTGTGAGGGTGTGATAAACATGCTTGTTGTTTCTCTGGTGTGAACTCAGACGTTCCTGCTGGCTGAGGAGTACCACCGTGAGTCCATGCTGGTTCAGTGGGAGCAGGTGAAGCAGAGGGTTCTGCACACGCTGCTGGGAGCTGGAGAGGACGCCCTGGACTTCAGCCAGGATGTGGAGGTATTTGACCCTGATATGTAGTCATTGAGAGATTATAGGTTCAGAAACATTACAGACCTCAGGAGCATCATTTGTTCATCCATATAATTCCCAGATTATTGACAAATTTTAAATAGTTTTCTTTACTTTTTTAAAACTACAGGGACAAAAATAATGAATACTGTAACAACCCAATTACATCTTTTCCTTATTTTCCTCTTTTACCAAAAACAAAACCTCAGTAAACAGGAACAATTAAAGCGGAAACATGTAGACATTGTAGAAACATGTAGAACAGGGAATGTCTCTGAAGATGTCGTCCTCTGAGATAAATAATCTTAGATTTAAACAGTGGTGGGTCTTTTTGCTTTGGTTTCATAATAAATCTGTCCAGCTGTTAGACATAAAACCAAAGCGTGTCAGCCATGGGTTTATTGTGGCCAATGCATGAACTTCAATAATTAACATTTACTGCAGTTATTCACACAATGCTGACTGCATACAGTGATCTCTAGATGACAGGAACTTGGAGATAAACTGCTCAGATAGCAGCAGATGATGGGGTGGGTAGCGCTGCAGTTTTTGGTTATCTCAGTGAATCAGAGCAGATTAATCAGGATCAATCTGGTTGTTTCAGGATTAGGGGTGCGTTAACACTGAGGCACTTTAACAGGAGACAAAGCTGTGCTCCGGACAACATAGCTGCTGCAAGCTAACAGCTTCGTTGTCCTTAAAGTTTCAGTGAAAGGTTGATTATATTCTTATTTTAGATTTTCTGTGATTCCTCTGTTATATTGTCTCTATTGGTCGTGTCATCAGCAAATCTGAAGAAACTTTAAAAGATACAAAACAAACTCTCCCAGGATTCAAATTTCTTTAGGAGTCGGAGCTTTCAGATCATCAGGAGGGAATATATAACAGCTCTTCCATTAAACATTGTTGCTGAGATGAAAATAAAGAGCTTTGTTTTCAGAAAATGCATTTTTTCTTCACCTTTGCCATGAATTCATAGCAGGAAGATATTATTTGATTGATTATTCGGAGCTTTCAAGAAAAAAAATGTAATTGTTTCGCCGTATTGTTTATCAAACATTATTTGATCATTTGAAAAAAAAGCTGTTTTTCTCTTGTACTCTTGAGCTTCTCGTTCTAAATCTGTCTTCATCTAAGAAGCTTGCTGCTGCAAGTCTCTGACAATGTTCTCCCAGCTGTTCTTCTGTTCATCAAAACTAACTAAAATAGCCGATCTGATCTGAGAGTCCTGGATGGTATTTTTAGCCACAGTCAGAGTGAAATAGGCCTTTCATCCTCTGGGAGCATATCCCAGCATGCGCTGAGGAAAAGTCATGCTAACCCTTGAGACAGGTTGACCTCCTGTTGGGGCCGGCCCGGTTCTTTAGTACAACATCAGAAACGTCTCTCTGTCTGTTCCAGCCCAGCTTTGTGAGCGATGTGGCGGCTCCAGGCAGGAGCGCGTTGAACAGCGTTGAGGTGGCGTACGGACGACAGGTGAGTCCATCATTAATTGTAGGAAGGGGCCGGTTTGGGTTCCTGCTGAAATGGTAGCAACTGTATTTAGAGATATGTTCACAGTGCTTTTATCCACATGTACATGAATCATTATCGGCATCACGAAGCTAAACCTCCTTTACGTCCCACCTCCATCATCTAATGTCTCTTTCTGTAATGGAGTTAAGTATCTTTCATTTATCCATCCTCTAATTCTCTATCAGTTCTACTCTGAAAGAAAGCCCTTTATTTTAAAATATGATCACTAAACTATAACCTGGAGATAATTTTGTGTTTATCTGTTATATTTATCAGTTTTTTCTTGTTTTAATTGAATGATTTTTGGAATGTATGATGTTTGAGTTAAAAAAAAAGCAGCATCTATTAATAAAAATAAGTTTAAAAGTTTGTATTAAAGCTGGATTCACCCCTTTGGATCCTTTCACAGTGCCACAAGTCAACAGTGTGGCCAAAATAGTGGATCACCTCCTTTCTTTTTCAAAACCAGACTGTGATAAAGCCAACTAATGCTGCATACATGCAATTTAACATTTACAGTCATTTAGGCTCTCAGCTGCAGTCTGACCCATCCTGATGGGCAGAGATGAAGCTCCCAGCTGTTTCATTCACATCCAGGAGCTAATCATAGACACTTTAGCTTGTTTTATTTTTCTAAGTTGAAAGTAGAAAACTGAGCTAAAACAAGCTCTCTCCTCCAATACATCTGACCAACTTTTAACCATTTGATAAAATAAGTACATTTTTACTATAAAAATGTATTTATCGTAAATTCATGGATCATATTGGCCTTTTTTGACTCAAAGTTCTACAACAGTCCTACTTGTATTGTCTTCTCTAAATCTTAATATCAAGTTCCTATAAACAAACCAGAATTAACATAATAGGAGTGTAGATAAATTGAACATGTTGCTTTTCTTCTGGAGAAAATCTATGGTTGAAAGGAGGTCTAAGGAAGGAGTTTCTCTAAGGATGATTGGTGAGATGTTATCTTTGATCAAACCGGTCCTACTCTGCATAAAGATGCTGTTAATGTGGAACCATAACCAGCAGGGTTTAGCTGGTTAAACATGACTGTAGCCTGAACAACTGGGTCAGATAAAGCCAGGAAGGGACTGATCAAACGTATTGATTGATTGATGGGGGAGGCATCCTGTGCTGATGGGCTGTGTGACGCAGGCTGTTGATCCTGACAATGTGTCGCCACATCGCGTGCGGTGTTGTTTGCCTTATTTTTGTTATCCTGTTCGAGGACCTTTTTAACATCTTGGTTCTCTTTTTGCTGTTCTTCATCATCAATCATTTCACCAGATGTCCAGGATAGGTTCAAAAGCTGCAGACCAATGTGACATAAATGAGCCTCTCGAGACGGGTTGATTTTAATCCTTTTTTTTCCTTTCCTTCCTTTTTTCACCACCCCTGCTTGCTTTAGATCTACGTTTTTAATGAGAAAATAGTGAACGGACACATCCAGCCTAATCTGGGAGATTTGTGTGCTTCGGTGGCAGACAGCTTGGATGACAAGGTAGGAACTCCACTCATTAGGGCGACATCGTGTTGTCCGATGGAGCAGTTTTTATATGACATGGTCACAAAAAGTGGCAGGAAAACAGATTGATGTTGTTTATGATTCTGCTAATGGTGTGCCGCTGAGATGCACTGATGTGCACTGATTTTATTATTTGTATTCTGAATATAAATGTAATTGAATTTGGATGTGATTTAGAATATCTCTTTAAATAAAGATTAAATTAATAAAAAATTGAGCATCTGAAAACTGCATTTAAAACCTGTGGAGAGATGCCTTTATATTTGTGATTTAAAGAATGTGTCAAATAAAGAAACAGCAAAGCATTTTTTGATAAAAAAAAAAAAAAAATTCAGGAAAGGTTTATATTAACAGGATGAACGGGGAGCTATTACAGTTGTTAGACTTTAAATATATCTACTCCAGTTTTCTTTAAAAGCAGGACAGTGGACTGAAGTTGTTGAACTCAATCTTTTGATACAAAAGATCCTCATGCAGTTAACCAGTGTGTTTTTATTGATTATGAAACCTTATTATGCCTCCAGAACGTATCGGACCTGTGGATGATGGTGAAGCAGATGACGGATGTGTTGTTGGTTCCTGCCAAAGACACCCTCAAAAGTCGCACATCAGTGGAGATGCAGATGGCTTTTGTTCGGCAGGCGCTCAGCTTCCTGGAGAACCGGTACCTGTCCCTGCCGCCAGGTTCAGCTTTAGATTTAATCTGCTTTTATCTGAGGTGCTTCATTTCCCTCCTTCTCCTATTGCAGGTATAAAAGCTTCACAATGGGGACCGTGTTTGGGAACCTGCATCAGGCCCAGCTCGGTGGGGTTCCCGGTACCTACCAGCTGGTCCGCAGCTTCCTCAACATCAAGCTACCTGGGCCTCTACCTGGCATGCAGGTAACCCCCACATGCAGAGTTAAAGATTTAGTAGAGGATTTTCTTGAATTTTTGAAAACACCCGCCCTCTTCACAGTAAAGGTCCAAAGGAAAAAAAAAAAAAACACATTTAAAGACTTGACTGAAAAACTGAGAAGAAGAAGAAGAAGAAGTGTGAGGGGCCGGCACAAAGCAAAGAGTAGCTAAAGATGAGAAACAGCCGCAGTACAGACAGTTTTTTCTTCTACTGCTAAAGTGTTTCCAGATAATTAGACACGCATGCTACAATGATTTAATCTGATCGAACGCTTGGTGCATGTTTACACACATCATGGTTGGATAATTTTTACTGTTCATTTTGAAGCCGTAGGTTCTTTGGTGGCGTCTTTCCTCTAGTGTTGTCCTTCGCATTGTAAACAAAATGGCTCCATACATCCAGGCGTTGTTTTCTCCCAGCTCCTCCAACAAACCGTAGACCAGTAGCCGAGCCCAACGCCATGACTGCGAAGTTGAGCTAGGAGTATACGCTCTCTGCTCTGGCACTGTGGGACAGGCGCCGTGTCTGGGACAGATGCGTAATCTTCTCTAAAGTTCAAGAAACACTTATATTAACAAATTACAACTTAATTATAAACAATTACATGTCTTAATGTCCATTCGTCAATGGCTCGTAAATTTTGTCTGGTCTTAGCCTCTTTAACGAAAATCATTTTTTATTTCCCTCATTTTTATTTTCTGGAAACTATTTTTGTGCGTCATCGTCAGGGGGAAAAGGGCCGTTGACGAAATCTTTTCATCATCGTCCTGGTTGACGAAATCAACACTGATGTAAACGTAGCTAGTGAGTCGGCAGTGTAGGAACCCAGAAAGTCGAACTAAAAATGTTGAGAATTAAGGATTTAAATGTTCTGATCTGAGCTAACATGAAAACTCTGTGTACTAACCTGAGACTGAATGAGTGACCAGAACTTCTCCTTAAACCAGCGATCTAACATACCGCCGATGATTGTTCTACTTAAACAGTTCCGTACAAAAATGGAAAACATTTAAACAGCCTGCATATGTCCACACAGCTGGTGAATAAAGAGAAGCCAGGAATGGATGATCAAAATAGGTCTGAACTGCGTTGATTTAAAGTATTATGAACATGTTTCCAACAGGATGGTGAGATTGAGGGCCAGCCAGTTTGGGCTGTGATCTACTACTGCCTGCGATGTGGCGACCTAAATGCTGCCATGCAGGTGGTCAACAGGGCGCAGCATCAGCTGGGAGACTTTAAGTCCTGGTTCCAGGAGTACATGAACAGCCCAGACAAACGGTAAGAACAGCTGTTATTTTGGAGCCGGATGTCAAAGGCGGGATGCTCACATCTCCTCCCGTCCTATTTTCAGGCTGTCTCCTTCTTCAGAGAACAAGCTTCGCCTTCACTACCGCAGGGCGCTGAGGAACTGCGCTGATCCCTACAAAAGGGCCGTCTACTGCCTCATCGGGAAATGTGACGTCAACGATAACCATGGAGAGGTGGCAGATAAAACCGACGATTATCTGTGGCTTAAGGTGCGCTCTGCTCTGATTTTATTGTGCCAGTTTCCTGCTTTTAGATGTTCGCATTCTTGTTTGGATATGGCCGCAACAGCCTCTGCTCTATGCAGCATTTAAACAATAATAAAAAATATTTAGTTTTATAAACAGTAAAAAAATAATGTATTACATATATTAATTATAATACATGATTGATTAAAAAACTGCTGAAGAAACAAAGGAGAAACATTTGACTACTGTGGATGTGAGAAGCAGCCATCTTATACACAGAAGTCTGGTATTGCTGTGTTGCTCCTACTTTCATGGTATTCCAATTATAATTTCAAACCTCAAAGTACAAATTTTATTATTTTCAGTTGATCAATCAGGTCTGTTTTAAAGAGGAGAGCTAGTATCTCACTGAAAATGCCTGTCTAAGTAAAATCCCCAGAATCCGGGCCGACTTGTTTAAAGCGGAGTCTATGTTCTTATAAGTGTCGCCTCCACTAAAGCAGCTGCTTTCTTCTCCCATCAGTTGAACCAGGTGTGTTTTGATGACGACGGCAGCAGCTCTCCTCAGGACAGACTCACTCTGCCGCAGCTACAGAAGCAGCTCCTGGAAGATTACGGTACGACGCTGTATCTTTTCCTCCATCCTGCACGTAGCTGCAGGATGCAGTGATTCTTGTGTCTCCCACCTCTCTGTTCACATTGCATCATACATGTAAACCAGTTTCACTCTGAAAGTGAAGGTGTTCCTGTTAGGAATGATTGTCTGCTGTCTCTGTGGTTTTGGTCCTGGTTCACTCAGATAAGATGATCAGCTGACTCTGTGAGCTCAGCTCCTCTCTGTCCTCCATGTTGCATCACAAAGCCTCCAGACCTTCGGGGTGAAAGTCCCGTTCAGTCGCTTCTCTGCACCCTCATCTGCCCACTGATTGGCTGTCCTCTCCTTCCATCTTTCATCCTTTTTTCTTTGTCGATCTGACTCTGTCTCTTGTCCTCCCACTGATTTTTGTCCTCTACTCCTCCTGCATGAATGTTTCCTTTGTTTGGCTTTGTTTTCTTGCAGTGCTGCAGCCCCCAAACACACATGCTACTGCCCTTCATCGTTTTTTCCTCCTCCTCCTCCTCATCCCCCGCCCCATCCTGCTCCCCTGCTTTTTGAACTAAAATGCTGCAAGTGTGAGATAAGGCTGTGAAACGGCTGACATGGTCCAGCCTGTTATACTCCTCAAACTCTCAGCCAACAAGAGGATTAAAAGATTTCTAATTAAAAAGTAAACTTGATGACTAAGTACCTCGGCTCAACAGAATATTTCTATTTTTTTCTTTTTGTGTGAGACTTGATAAGGTGAGCAGCCCGGCAGCCTGAGCAGTTCCATAAAACATTTCCTTTTCCTGCCATATGTGAACTCTTTTTACCTAATTACTTGGCTAATTAACTTTGACAGTGTGTTGGGATTACAGGTACATCCTGTCTCTTCACCTTCTCACTGTGACAGCTCCCTGAGAGGATTTGAAATGTCCGTCCGTCTCTTAGACGTTTTTATCAAAGCCGTAACTTCAATAGTGGACAATGTGTGTAATATAGTAGTAAACTCTTATTTGTAATCTGTAATCTTTTTTTCTGAATGGGGATGAGACAGATGTGTAGGCCGTTAATTAGCAGAATGGTAGAGAGGCTGTGGGCTCAACGACTGCTCTGGCTGCCTTCCTCTATTTGTTTTGTTTTGTTTTGTTTATTTCTGGTTTTGGGATTCTTGTTAGGTTCTGATCTTTGGCATTGCAAAAACTATCTAAAAATAAGTAGAAATTTCTTAAAATTAGTGTATCAACCTTAATTTGAGTAGGTAAATAAGTTGGAATGATTATTTTTACTTGGAATAAAATAATTAGATATGATAGACTTAAAATAAAAGAATAGAATAGAAAATCCTTTTATTGTCCCACAACGGTGAAAATCTGGTGTTAACACAGGGTTTCCGCGGGTCATTAAAAATCATTAAGTCAACTATTATTTTCTAAATTAAGGCCTTAATTGGCATTATAATTGATAAAACGTGATTATCCTGGAATTTAAAATTATGTATTTAAAATAATATATGATTATAAAAATTTTTTGTCAGATATAGTATATCATGATATATTTGCACGGACCTGTTGACGGTTGAGCGTAAAGCCGTTGATTGGAAAAGAAGCTTGAGGTGGAGAAAAGGCTAGAGAATGGGGAAAATGCAAATGTCAACAATAGTGGCTGGAAAATGAGGAACTCGGGACATGGCTGCAGCCTGTTGACGGTAAAGATGACGAACAATTTTGATGTGTTATATATTGTTGATGATATACTGTTGATTTCTAAGAGCATTAAAAGAACATTTAAAAGCATTAAATTAGAGTTACTAATTTCTGTATAAACCCTGTAACAGCAGCAAAAGATAATAGAAAAAATGGTCACACAAATGTGGACCTTAGAAAAATGTCTAAGAATAACATAATAGTGAAGAGTTAAAAGATAAACAATAAAATACTGTACTGTAAAGTGTTTAAACAATATTAAACTGTACACCTGGAGAGTAAATAACAATATAAAGCTATGGAAATTTTAACAGTAATGGATATCTGAAAGTAGCAGCAACATCAGAGTTGTGCAAAATGACGGCAGCATGTGAATTAACTGACTAAGCTCATGAAATAAAATAATGCAGTTATTTCCTTATTTCAAATGTAAATTGGCAAAGAGTCTCACTTACCGGCTTAATTCAAGATTAAAAAAATGCATTTATTTTAAGAAAAATTGACTGACCTAGAATAATTTTTTTTGCACTAAGAACATTTTAGATTGGATCAGATGAGCTAATAAGTAGGCAGGTTTTAACTTTTAAGATGTTACATTAGCAGCACTAGTCCTGGCTTCAGTTTACTGGGTTCTGAACAGGAACTACAGAAATTTCATCGTTGATTGAAAAAATCTACTGGACCCAATTTTTAATTGTTGTTACAAAAAAAAAGGGTAGAAAAAAGAAACTAGCTGATTCTCTGTTTATAGAAAAAATATAAGATTTTAGCCCATCAGATCCTCTGAAACTCTCCATACTGCAGCTGATGACTTTCCAGAACCTTCATTTTATCTACACTAACTTGCTGCTCTAGATGACAGTTCGTCTTCAAACCGTTGCTTTTTCTTTTTTTCCCCATCTTTCTCGTCCATTAGGAGAGTCCCATTTCTCTGCCAGCCAGCACCCCTTCCTGTACTTCCAGGTGTTGTTCTTGACGGCGCAATTCGAGGCTGCGGTGGCGTTTTTGTTTCGTGTTGAGAGGCTTCGGAGCCACGCGGTCCATGTGGCCCTGGTGCTGTACGAGCTGCGGCTGTTGCTGAAGTCGTCCGGTCAAAGCGCTCAGCTGCGTGAGCTTTTTTACCTTTTATTCCACACCATTACCCCGAGACTTCAGACCTGAGAAATGTGAGACTAGCCGAGAGTTTCCATGTCATCTGCAGTGAGCCAGGAGCCTGGGGACCCTCCAATGATACGACGCCTCAACTTTATCCGCCTGCTGATGCTCTATACGCGAAAGTTTGAGTCCACAGATCCCAGGGAAGCTCTGCAGTACTTCTACTTCTTACGGTAAAGCGCAGCGTCAGGGATAGTAATAATCTGCTGCCATATTAAGCATTGATGCGTATTTCTCCATCTCTTTTCTCCTGCAGCAATGAAAAGGACAGCCAAGGGGAAAACATGTTCATGCGCTGCGTCAGTGAGTTGGTCATTGAGAGTCGAGAGGTGAGCCACTTTCTGTTTGAAGCCTGTCCTGTGTCTGATGGTTGTTCAGTCAGGATTGCTAAAAGAAACAAGAAAATTCAACATTTATTTGAAATAATCTGTCAAATTAATTCATTGATATTTTGTGAGCGAACAGCAATAATGATGCTTAGAAAATGCTATTTTTACTGATCCTAAACTAATAAAGATATTAGGATATGATGTGAGATTTCAGGGTGTAATTTTTATGTTTTGCTGTTTTGTTTTTTTCCCTGCAGTTTGACATGCTGTTAGGAAAGTTGGAGAAAGATGGCAGCAGGAAGGTAAGATGAGGTCTTCCTGTCCATCTCCTGTATATTTGAACAAAAGCAGGAGTCCTTCAGAGGCTCTTCTGCAGCTATGTTTCCTGAGCTCCTTCAGTGTGCAGGATGGGGTGTTAAGGAGTTATTTAGATTCCTCCTCATCTTCAACACATCCCAGCAGCTCTCTGATTGGGGACCTAAAGCCCATCTTCTACTTAGTGTTAATTATGAGTGGGAACCAATGATAATTTGGGTCATATGGTTATGTTTTCCTTGGAAGGCTGAAAGGTTGTATTTTTATGACATCTTAAAGTTTAAAAAGGTAGATGGCGTCGGGTATTGGATCATAAAACGTCCCTGAAGTCTGATTGTTTGTTCTGGATTCTCAAAGATCCATAGATGTAGGTTGAAACCTCCCTGTGGTCAAACTTCCAGCCCTTCAGTTTGCTTGTATCATCCTGGAACCAGGGGACCCATTTGGACCCAGCAATCATGCTTCTGATTCAGTTCAGGAGCTGCATGAGCTGTTGGGCACCAGGGTGATTGGAGTAGAGGATTTAAAGCTGATCTGCAGATGTCTGATTAATGAGCCCTGATATGTGGACCACCCAGAGATGTTGGGCTTGTGTTTGAAACACTGAGCCTGCAACAGTAGTTTAACCTGACATTAATGTGGAAGCCTGGGACCTCAGCGTTCACATTGATCAGAGAATGTTGTGATTGTGGTTGGGGGCGGGGCTGTTGACCCATTTCCAGCGTTCTGACTCTCGTCTCCTCCTCCCAGCCTGGCATCATAGATAAGTTTGCAGGTGACACCAGAGCGATCATCAGTAAAGTAGCTCTAGAAGCGGAGAACAAAGGTCTGTTTGAGGAGGCGGTGAAACTCTACGAGCTGGCCAAGGTGAGAACCACTCGTTTTCACCACTTCACTAAGAACTTTGGAACTTTACGTTGAGCTACTGTTTTATCATCTGTGTAGAACCCTGATAAGGTTCTGGAGCTGATGAACAAGCTGCTGAGTCCTGTCATAGCTCAGGTCAGTGCGCCTCAGTCCAACAAAGAGAGGCTGAAGAACACGGCGGTGGCCATCGCTGAGAGGTACTCTGAAACACACCAAGGACAACAGGTTCAAACGGATCATGTAGCTGACGGCTGCTCTGGTTCTTCTGCAGGTATCGCTCTCAGGGGACAGCAGCAGAGAAGACCATCAACGGCACCTTCTACCTGCTGCTTGACCTGATGACCTTTTTTGATGAGTATCATGCCGGTCAGGTTGACAGAGCCTATGATGTGAGTGAAACAACCAGTGGCTCTTTGTACGGTGAAGCAGGCTGGTTGTTAACGTGTCGCTCTGTTTGCTGTCAGGTGATGCAACGCTTGAAGCTGCTGCCTCTCAGCCAGGAGAGCGTTGAAGAACGAGTGGCAGCTTTCAGGAACTTCAGTGATGAGGTGAGATCCTCGGCTCTCATTTATGCTGCCGACGACTAATTGAAATAAGATTACTGTGTTGGTGATAAAACTGGGTCTACTGTGGTCAGTAGTTAATATTAGCATGATTTTTAGCGTCTTTCACAAAGGCTGGCATTATAAACTCTCAAAGATCAGATGGGCCTGTGACTTTTTTCCTAGCCGTCTCACATTCGTCTCCCTGACGTATTAATTGTTTTCTTGCTAATATTGAATTCCTATTAAAGCTTTTATATCCTGTTTTGTCATCACTAAATCTTTTCCTCAACCCTCCAGAACTCGGGTTGGTTTGCAAATCAGGTGCCTACAAGAAATGGGTCGACTTAAACCCCCTTTGCTGCATCAGTCCTATAAGAAAAAGCATAGAACTGAATAAAAGGAAACTGTTTGAGTTTATATTGAAAACATAATCAAGATAAAGTTGCACTGTTGATTAAAACTTGAATAAATTCCAAGGATAAATATTTGAACCTTGTAGAGAACACCTGTCCACTGAAATGTTCTCGTTTCAGTGTTTGGAACTAACCGACTATCTGCAGATTTATGCCAAATATGTCAGTTTTATCACTTGGTTGAGATTTTTTTTTTTTTTTATTGCTCCTTGTCTGCAGGTGCGCCATAACCTGTCTGAAGTGCTGCTGGCCACCATGAATATCCTGTTTACACAGTATAAACGCCTTAAGGGGGCGCCTGCAGGAACACCAGGACGATCACCGAGGACCGTGGAGGACAGAGGCATGGTGAGAGCAAGAAAATCCAGACACTTGCCAGATATTTCAGATTTAAAAAAAAAAAATTTTGGCACTTAATTAAATTCATCATTAAAATGTAAAAATAATAATTGAAAATAATGTTCTTTAAACAGCAGCTGCGCAGTCAGGCTCGAGCGCTTATCACCTTCGCTGGGATGATTCCCTACAACATGGCTGGGGACACCAACGCAAGGCTGGTTCAGATGGAGTTACTGATGAACTGACCCCCCCCCCACCCCTGCACGTGCACACACACTTCCTGTTGCTCTCACCACACATCTCTGATTCATCCTTTTTAGTTATTGTCATTTTTTTTTTTCCTTTCATGTTTGTATTTTCAAAATAAAATCTTTTCAGTTGTCTTTTTATGTTGTATGTTTAACTCCTTTGGACATTTTTTTATATTTCATATTGTTTGTCTTTTCATTTTTTTTACATCAGCTTTATAGGTGCATCCCAGTGAATTAGAATATCATTGAAACAATCATGTCATTCAGAAATTTAGGCCAAAAATTTGTTTTGATCCACATTGAGAAGAAATATTTAGAATTGTATTTTATTTTTTTGTTTTATCGGTTGGAGAAATCCTTGCTCCTAGTAATGAAAACCCAAGATTCAGTTCCTCAGTAAACCAGACCAGTGACTTGTGTACGACGGCGAAATTTTAAGTAATTGCCTTTTGTTTTCGGGGACCTTACACCATTATGGAGGAACCTCAGACGGACGGCTGTCCAGTGGGACGTCTGCTGACACTATAAGCCAATATACACGAGATCAAGAAGCTGGCTTATCAGACTGTTGTATCAAAACCTATTATTGGAAAGTTACTGTATGTGGAAGAAAAAAACTTAGAAAGGTACGCAACCAATTAGAGGATGTAGAAGCAAAGCTAGTTCCAGGACCCTGGCCTTGACTCTTGCTCTACAGGCATTTTGAATTTACTAAAATCTGTTAAACATTGACATCTATAGTTGCAAACATTATTGCACCATGTTGCTGCTCTTTAGATCTAATTTCTCCATCCAAAACTTCATTTTAGCCCTCATAATCCTGAAACTGAATAACCCGAGCAGCACTGTCCATGCTGAAAAATGTAAAATGATTAAAAACCAAGTAGGATTTTTGAGCTGAGTCCACATAGTAATGAAAATGAAATTACAGGCAGTGCTGAATGCACTGCATGATTTTTAACCTGCTGTAACTCTTGCTCTCAGCTGTCTTCAGTATGAGTCAGTTTAACTTCATTTCTCTAAGCCAGTCTGATGCGGTGTCTGGTTAGACATGGGGCAAAAGGAGGTCTAAAAGCCATAGCAGATCGTGTTTTCAAGTCTTTCTTGTACAATTCTTAGACAATTTCCCACTGAGGGACATTTAATACTTTTTTTTTTTACTTTTAAAAATATTTAAGTTAAAGATGATTTGATTAGAACCAACTTGAGTGGCCAAGTTTGTGTGCAAAAAGAACATGACAAAGAAAATAAAGATGATTTTGCATAAAATGGACTATAAAATGGTGGTGAAAAAAATTACCTTTGAGAGGTTGTACTTTCAGTTTCTGCTGGACCTTCTTTCATACATGCTCTGTAGGAGGAACAACTCTGGTCCCTGGAAGGGATGTTTCTTAGGAACCAGAAATTAGACAGTTATGCTAAGAATTGCAATGGGAGGCAGAATTAAGCTCTACCCTGTTGTCTGGTATAGGCTTTTGATTACAAACACTGAAGATGAGCGGCAGTCATCTGCAAATTTCAACTTACATTGAAAGGTTTTGACGAGCGATAGCGAGCACACCTTTGTGGAGTTCAGGTGGTTCTTGAATGGGAGAAGTTGCTACCCGGCTGCTCTTGTTGCTGCTGTGCCATACAGGAAACTGTTGATCCACTCACAGGTGGAAACAAACATCGTCAGCTGAGAGAGCTGCTGGTGGGGATGTCTGGTTTAGTGGAGCTAAGGTCCACATCCAAGTTCCTGACATATGTTAATGAGTGGTCATTGTGGTGCAGGATGTAGCGTTGAACACATCATCTGCAAACCTGTTCACAAAGTCAGCTAATTTTGGGGGGCTGTGATGGTTTTCAGATTTCAAAGGATTTCAATACCAAAGATGTCAGATGAACAGGCCTGCAGCCATTTGGTTCTGTGATGGTGTCTTTATTAGGGACTGGGATGATGGAGAAGCTCATATAAAGAATTTAGCCTCACATTGCTCCAGATATTTATGGAAGAAGATGGGTTTTAGTTGGTCCGCATGTGTCTTTAAAAGGTGCTAAAAGAATCCACCAGTTGCTGGACCTTTCTTTACCTTTTATATGCTGAAAGACCTGATAAACATCTTCCTCTGACAACTGACCAATGAAATTTGTGAATGTAAAATTTTAAGTTTGAACACATTGTTGTGCATGCTTGGCTTTGAGACGTGTCACAAGAAAGTTAGAAATTAGAAACGCGTTTCATTACACTGTAACATGGCAGTAAAACAAAGCAAGGGTTTCATGGGTTGATCAATGAGAAGGGAGCATGTCACCATCCTCTGCTTTAATTCCCTCTGTTGACTGTTTTACATGTATCCAAATCCCTCTAATTCCATAACACATATTTTTTGGAGACCTAAGAGTTTTAATTTGCCATTACATCACTACTACTACTTATTGCTGTGGTTTGTCTCACCCCGGGTGTCAAGGCCATGAAGGCTGTTAAGTTGCATCTGAGGAAGACGTAGTTCAGGTCCTCAGCTAGGCGGGGTGTCATCACAGCCATGGAGGAACTATCACTATAGTTGGTGACATTTTTTTATTAGCTGAGGAGTTGTTTTTTGTTCTTTCCATGTGTCGTTTTTCAGCTAATTTGTTTTTTCAGTTTGCACTTGGTCTGCTGGTAAAGGGCCTGGTCACCACTGTGAAAAGCCTAACCTTTAAACTGCTCCTTACCAAAGCTGATGTAGATGTTCCTCTATCACCACAATCTAAATCAGCCTTTCTAAAGCATTTCAGTCTATAGAAGATCTCAGTTTGAATCGCAGTTTTAAGGACTCATTAATTTACTAGAAGCCAGTATTTCAGCTCACATCTTATTGGTTGCTTAAGAAAAGCCCTGAGGCCCATAGTCACAGACCTTCTTTCCAACAGTTCTCTAGTGGGCTGAAATAGTCTTATTTAGGTCTGAGGTTCTCATTTGTCACAGATATTCCAGAACAAGTGGATAACCAGTCAGATTTTGATTTAAACTGCAGAACTACAGACTGCTTCCTTAAAAGGGAAATGTTGGATAGCTGGAAAGATTTTAATGCAGTAATTCTTATAACGTGGGTTTGAGGTTGCTGCAGGCGGTGGTATCTGTGACATGCTGTCCCCCCCTGCAGATGGCTGCTTGGCTTCAGCTGCAGGCCTGCAGGGTTAGGTTTAGAAGATGGAGGTTTGAGGGCAAGAAGAGGTAGAAATATTTCATGAACACATCAGGAGATCTATCAGCTCAATCAGTAAAATCACTTTCTTCAACAGTTAGAGTCTGATAGGATCACTCTACTCTGAGACCCATGTACAGGAGGATTAATTGCAAAGAAACTGTTGGATCTGTCAGGATCTACCTGCGTCCTACTTCTTGAAACCTTAATCCTCTCTCCTCCTTCCTGCAGTTAGGATCTTCCAGAGCAACATTTTTTCTCTGAGTCTGACATAAGAAAACTCAGATGGATGAGGTACTGAATTTTGCTCCAACTGAGTTGGACAGGCTGGTAGAAACTGCTGCCATGTTTGCATCTCTTTTTCAGGTTGGATCACCTTCCTCTCAGGTGTGTGTGCTGCAGCTGGTGTTGTGAATCAGGCCGATGACGGACACCTCCTATAAGCCGGCTATTTCACAACACCAGGGTGGCACCGCATCACAGGCGCCAGGACATTGGTGTGGACAGCCCTCCTTCAGCTACCTCTTTGTGTTAATATAAGTATACCCGCTGTTAACCTGGTGCATCTTGTTTTTACTGAAGAAAAATAAAGTTTCTAAGTCCGTTTCAGATCATATAAGAAGTCTTCTGTGAGAAATTTCTGTGTGTCTCTTTTGTACATTTTCTTTATAAATATGAAGTCGATATTTAAAAGTCTTCCTACAAACAAAAGAAATGTTGTAACCACCCCTGGCCTATATGAGGCGATACAACACTGAAATAAACCAAAAACAAAGCAGGAGGGTGGGGCCATGGAGTTACTCCTGACATGTTAGATGATCAGCTGATGTCAAAATTTGTTATTGACAAAGAAACATGAACACCCTTTCTGACTCATATGTGAACCTCACAACTTCAGGATGAAGGCGTTAAGTGTTGACCATAATGGAGCAAACAGAAGGAACCATTTCACTAGTTCCATTCTGATTCTGGTTCTCTCCTCAGCTCAGTCCACTGGGTTTCCACAGGAAGTCTGTCAAAAGGACTGAGATGGACCTGGAAGAAGGTGCATTTAGTGCTCACTGAACTATCCTTTGGTTCTGGATCATTATCCTGTCGAAAGACCCATTTCCAGCTTTGGCCACCAGAGTTTCAGTTTAAATTCAATCCATTTTATTTATATAGCACCAGTTCCCAACATACAGTATGTCATTCAAAGGCACTTTACACTGCTGGTGTACATTGCTCTGTTAACAGAGTTTAAACTATCCCTGCGATGCTCTCCATGTTCTTATAAAAGCCATGAAAGTTTCTCCATAAGAACCAATGAGAGGGATGAAGACTGCAAACCTGCGCCATCATTCAGTGAGGTTCCTGCAAACTCGGCCCTATTTACAACAGATGGTTCTGACCCAGATAACAGTGAGGAAAGTCTGGAAATGTGGTCTGTTGTGCCTTTGGCTGTAAAGCGTTGGCTCCTGCTGAAAGGTTCTGGCCCACTTTTGTCTTTTCCCTGCAGGTGTTCTAATTTCCTTCCACAGACCCTTAAGGTTGACCTGAAGAAAAAAAAAAACAACTTCTGTTGTCTGAGGTATGATTTACATAGTTCTTTCAGTCTAAATGTGAGACATTTTGATAAATTATCAATTAAAAGCACAAAGATGATAATAAAAAAAATATTCAAGATTCTTTTAACTAATTTTTAAAGCTAAAAAAAAGAACCAATAAAGGTGAACTTAAATACCACAGAAACATGGGATTTTATTTGTCCTTTTGTTTTTTAAGAAAGATTACAAAGGACATATTCTGACATCTAAAGCACTGAATGAACCTAAGAGCTGCTGGGGTGCCATAAAGGCCCCTAACACATCTTTCTGGAATCAGATGAGGCACCATTTATTTTCTCTCCTTGGATGTGGAACAACCTGTCTCTGATATGTTCCTTTTAATCAGGACTAAGAAAGTTTCCAGCAGCAATATTGAATACTACTTTAAGTTTGTAAAACAGTTTTAATTCCAAGGAATCTATATCTAAAATTAAGCTGATAAAATTAAAAGTAAGTAAAACATAAGAGAAAAAAATAACAATTAATTCCTTAATTGGAATATCTTAAACCAAACCAAATCTAGATAGTAACTCTCAGCTCTGGATGGGCTATTTCAGAACGAGGACCGTGTCAGAAATGATTTGCATGTAAAGTGATGAGTGCCACAGTACAATAACTAACTTGTGAAATTATTATTTAACTGTGTCATTGAATTATTAAACCTAGAAACACAGAAATTGTTCAATCAATATGTGATCAGTCATATGGACCACAACTTGATACATTGATTTCAATTTATTGTCACTAATATTTTCATGTTCCTGGGCTGAAGAACACCATGAATCAATTTAAGTTGTCACACAGCCATCAAAGTAAAGGTGGCAGGACTATGGCCACTTCCCTGGAAGCCCTGACGTCTGATTGGCTGCTTCTCACTGCGCAAGATAACACAAATTTCAGATGGATATTGAGACTCTTCTAGAGCCATACACAACCAGCACGTTAGTAGCAAAATTTTAAGTTGCAAAGGTGCAACTCGTAAAGGTGAGCTTGTGACTAAGAGCAACAGATATGCACAGTTGTTTTTACCGATTTGTTGTTGCGTAAAGGAATAGAAAGGTAGGACTTGAATACAGATGGTTTGCAGCTTTTGGTTTATATCAACTGGAACTGAAAGCGGATTTTGATGTGACTCACAGGCCATTATTTATTTTCATGTACATAGTAATTTGAAGAGATTTAACTTTTTGTTTGAAATATAAAAGATGGAAAAAGTTGTACACTTATGAAAAATCCTGTTGTATTTCCCACTTCAGGTACAATTCACCACAATACCATGGTGAAAAAAATTTTTTGAAAAAAGTTTAAATTAAATACTATTTAGGATTTTATTTCAAAGAAGTGAAGCAAAAAAAGGGAATTACTCCTAAACATCTAAATTATAACTTGAAAAAAAAATTCTACATGTTAAGTCCTTTTGTTGTTTATTAAAAAATAACCTATACTCTTCCTAACTATAATTTTTTATTAAATTAATTAGGAGATTGTGCCACTCCTTTTTTTGACTTTATTGAACCAGAACCTTTTAACTTATTTTCTCAGTGTATATGATTTAGACTTTAAATACTGATGGAATTAAGAGCAAAATTAAAGAATATATTTAATAATTAGTTACTTGGATATTAGTTTATTTTGAAAATAGCAGGAAAATAAAACAATGAAATGGAAACATGAGATAATCATTAGATATTAAGCAATACAGCAGCTTTAATGTTGTGTCTGAAATGGAGCAGTAAGTACTTGTCTCATAGATCCATGAGAAAGCCCTTTAAAGTTGTCCTTAAACATTCAGGATTGGCCTCAATTCCTGAAATGTATTCATTAAGTTACAGACTGCATTATATCAGTTTTCGGACATGCATACTATCATGCACACAGCAAAACAAAAACACCCTGATAAAGTCCAACAGATACAAACACATGAATATCTTGAAATCTTTCACTACATCAGTTCAGATTGTTTGAACTTTCCTGTAGTTCCACGCCGAGAACATCACATAGTTTCACACCACAGAGTGGGCTGACTCAGATAATGCAGTCCTCTGCCAAGCATCACATTTTGAAGGAAATTGTGACTTAAGACTAATTTAAATTTCGTACATGATCTGGATCATTACCAAATTCAATTAAATAGTTTCTTGGCATGAGGCTCACCTCTAGCATTTTTTTTTTCCCATAAATCCTGTTTATAAGTTTTCAATGGATCCTGCTAATAAACCAACATCATTCCCTTTTCTTATGTTTTTTGTGTTCAGTAAAATACTTCCATACATAGATGTAATTTTTTGGGGGACAGGCAGGACTTGTCCTCTGCATTTTTTCAAATATCTGTTTTAGTCCCCTGCACTTTTTTCTGTCCAAAAACAATGTTACTACAGTACACAGACATTAATCATATAGATATAATTAAATAACATTTCTGCCAACAAAT